GAAAGTGGCCCCTTGCAAATGGGGAAGTGGAAAATGGCAAGTGGAAAAGTGGAAAATGGGTGATGGCAAATGGCATTAGGTGCTTAGGTACTTAGAGGCGATCCCTGCTGTTCCATGCAATCTCATTCCGTTCCCTAGCATATCATAATGCTAATAATATTTTCATATTTTACGCTGAAAGCATTTTGCAAAAAAAAAAAAAATCAGCAGGCAAAGTAAGGAGCGAGATGGGTGCCAAAGAGCAAGGGAGATCGGAAGTCTTTGTTTAAAATGTCATTAGCAGTGGATGGCAGCCATGTTGCCATTTTCAAAATAACGTACAGTACGTCATGCAAATGCTAAAACCGCATTTGCATTTGCCGGCTGTCAACGTTCAGGCCACACCGAAAAAAGTGAAAACCTCTCATAAATGCACCCAAATACACCGAGAACTAAATAAAAACCCACAGATGTGTGTAAATGCATATATTCTTGGGTAGATCTTAGGCACAAGTTTGCGTCTAACTTTTTATTTAGTTCTTGCAAAATAGTATATTAAAATTATTATTAGTATTCGAAATAATATTTGAATACTGAGCTTTTTTTTTGAGTGTGAACACTCGGACTTGTGGCATTGTTTATGTGATGAGTAGAAAACTTTTCCGAGAAGGTGTGGAAAACCAAATGCTAGAGATGTCTCCACCTCCATTTGATATGTGGAAAATGTAAGACTATTTGGCGTCTCGCAGGTTGCATCTGATTTCTTATGCACAGCTGCATCAAGAAGTGCATTAAATTCGCATTGCATACCGCATGGCACACACACACAGGCACCCATAATGACATTGATTGTATGGGTGGAGAAAGACTTTCTCTCTCTATCTCACCCACTCTCCCTCTCTCTCTCTCTCTCCCCCTCTCTCTCTCTCTCTCTCTTGTGCACATATGTATGTAGAAGTGAAGTGCAGTTCTGTGCGCGCCTTAGGTTGTAGTCCTAAATTATAAAGCACCTTGGACGTGTGCATGACAGAGATGGCCCCAGAACCACTCTAATTGAAAGCCATAAACCCAACTCAATGGAGGCCAAATGAGCGGAGACACGGAGCAATGGAGCAAACAACTTCTCAGCCAGATTTGCGCCCAGGCGGAGAAAGCGGTCTCTTCGGCGCTTCCCGAATTTAAGGCAAATATTTGTATAATTTCGAAATTTAAGTCATTTGATTTTAATTACTTGAAGTGTTTCTTTTATAAATAATTTTAAAAATAAACACAAGGACCATTTTGATGGGCACAAAAGTGCATGAGGAATATTTTTTAAGGAGTTTGGAAAGACATTTGAGGTTCAAATATTCGGCTTAGAAGTGCTTCCTCCATTCGATTCCACTTGCCAATAGTTATTACTCCTTTTTTTCCGCACACCCAAATCAATTAAGCCCTCCGATGAGTTTGCCCTCTGAAAACCATAATGATTAGATACCCATTCACAGTCACAACTAAATTTATGGAGTGCAGTTCAACGCCTTCCGTTCATTTTTTCTTATTTATCCTCGAAAGTGAAATCGTAACCGTATACGTTGCCGTATCCATGTCCGCCTTCATTTTGTTCAAATAAGCAATCAATGTTCATTATTTATAAATGTTTGTTTACCTTAGCGTTTTACGATATTTTCCCCCTACTTTCTTTATTTTTATTTCCTTTTCTTACATTTCCTTATGTTTCCCTGTTTTGTTTTCACGCTATTAGCCATGGCCTTTGTTTGCCTTGGGGCAATGGAATTTACTCGAAAGGATTGGCTCGAATCCTTTTGGGGGCTTAGCAACAGTTTTGCTCCTCCAACGGGATAAGTTCCCTCAAGTACTGTGTCTTACATAATTGAAGGGAGGTCCTAAATTCTATAAACAAAAGATCTACAAATATTATAAATAAAATGGCAAGGGAAAACGAGTGGTTACTCAAAGCAAAAATTTAAAGTAAAATGTTTACAATTGAATGTATTGCAATTGAAAGAATGGTAATGTGTAAGTCAAGTTATTCATATCTGTATAGTAAAAAGGTTAAAGCTAAATGGCTTCCTAAATTTATAAATTCAGTTTGCTATACAATTGTATTATAGTTCTTTTCAACTAATTAACGACACTCAATTTGCATTGTGTTTAAAATATTTAACAGCAGTCTGCAAATGTGGCAAGACAAATATGCCCGCTGGTCAACATAAGCCATAATTAAATCGAAAAGCTCTCTGCGTGCACGTATTAGGCAGTTTTAATTGTTAATTTAACTTTTATTACATGTCGATACATTCCGATTGGTTTTTCTGCCATTTGAGATGCATATGCATGCCGGTCAATTAGTGAGTACTACGATTAAATGACAAAATGCGACAGAGAGAAAAATGCGAACAAATTGCATTTTGAATGCAGTCCATGGACAAAAAATCTCGGTACACGCATACACTCGTACATAAATGTGCTGGCGTGTGGAAATTATGGTTTTGTAATTGGCATATCGCTGTCTCTATCGCCAAACATCTAACCGTCTCTCTCGGTCTTTGTGTGGTGGTGCGTGCGAGTGTGTAATTTAATTAATTTTATAATAGTCATGCCAGCTACATAGCCGAAAGCAATAAACCAAAGTCAATAATATTTATTTATTCCATTGAGAATTTTATTTAGCTGCGTTTTAATGAGTTTTCCAGTTTATTCCAAGGGCTCCGAGGGAATTGCATTGCCATTCCAATAAATTAAACAATTCCGCGCCGATATTTGACTTTTGTTTGCCGATTAGCGATTGGCATTGAGCTCAAAAATATTTCGCAAAATACAGATAAATAATGTAAATATTTATACATTTATTTTTCATTAAAATAAAATATTAAGTGAAGAATATTAAGTGGTGATTCAATTCGCACAGCTCACTGTGCTTTTTGGTGAAATTGGTCCGTTTCAAATTTCTGTACAACTATTTGAATATGGCATCTTAATATTTTCCCATAGAATATTCTGCTTTGCTTTCACGATTTGACCCAGAAGTGGTTGCCCGATTCATTAGCAAAGTTAAAGTTAATTGCCTTCGGGCAAAGTTAATCGCAGTTTCCTCCTAAGTTGATTGATTAGTGGGCGTCGGTCGAAAGCTAAACTAATTTTGAAACAATAAAAAAAGTTTGGACGGCAAGCACAAGTAATAATTATTGGCCAGCTCTCTGTCTTATTTATTTTTATATTTTTCCCTTCTCCCGCATTTAGTTTGCTATTGCGCTGATGCAGCCGAAAATCTCTTATCAGTTCTAATTATTATTTTTTTTTTGCAACATTAACTAACCCGGCGATATTCGTTTAAGCCTGAATGCAAATTGACTTGTTTCCGTTGCCACCCGTTAGTCGTCTTTTTCGCTGCCCCTCGTGGCATCTCTTTCTGCCATTTGCCATCTCTGTCTACTACTTCCTTGGGCCATCTATTATGTAGATGGCGTAAAACAAAGAATGAGCCATCTCGTTCCTCTGGTTTCGTGGTTTTGATTTTCCCTTTTTCATCCACACACTACGTAGTTCTACTGTTCTTTTCCTTTTCTCTATCCTTCGTTTATACACCCCTTCGTGCTTTTCCTTTTGCACCGATTCCGTTTCTACTTCTTCCTCCTTCATCCGCGCCAGCATTTGGCTTAAGTTTTGCAATTTTGAGCTAATTCCTGAGACTACGAAGCCGCTTTTCCCACATTTATCCACCCTTTTTCTCAGTTCTCCTTCAGTTTTTATCGTTTAGTTGGCGCTTTAAGCACTGAGAGAAAATTTAAATTTAAATTATTATTACAGCACTACAACTATTTATATAATGATATAGAAAACGTTGAATATTTCTGAAATATATTTAAAATAAATTTTCGATTTTAAATGAGTACTAAAAATGCCTAATACCTTAAGTTTCAGTAGTAATATTTTTTCGAATTAATAAAACTTCATATACAAGTTGCTGGCTCTTATTGCGATCTCGATCTTAAATAATTACTTACAATTTTTTATTACAATCAAAACCATATATGGAACTTATTTATTTGTTTTTTGTGCATGCAGCACTCCTCTGTTTGATTTTTCCGGAAAATACAGGGAACAGTGCTAGATTTATGCATTGCCATGGTGCTTCGTTGGCTTCCCAGATACTGCTCCTTTTGTTGCCTTTCAATGCAATTTAAATCCACGCACCCGGCAACGAAATGGAATTGAAACGGAACGGAGTGGAGTGGACGGACGGATTGGCCTATATTGAGATTTATTGTCTCATCGCTCTAATTACAATAAGGCAGTGCCTACCACTGTGCGTCGCAATGTCGCCATCCTTATTCCATTCTCGATTTCGAACCCCACTCCTGATCCCCGTGGTGAGCGCTAAGGAATTCCATTTAAATGACATTTTAATGTGCTGCTCTCACACACACACACAAGCAAAATCTACCCACACAAACGTGCAAGCAAATCCCGTGCGGAAGGCTGAAAAATGGTTTGAAAATGCATTAAACGCTTAATTGAGGTCGTTCTTTTTCAAAACTCCTGCAAAGGAATACTTACCTGTATGGCCAAAGGACAGAATGGCCTATTCAGCGATTTCATTTGATTCGATGCCTACCGATATGTACAAACATACGAGTATATCTGTTCAATTCCCATACTTGTTCAATCAATAGTGATTACCGTAATGCAGAGGCATGTTGGCTCAAAATAATAGTTCATGCCCGCAAGCCATCTAAAATCAGCAGAAAACCATTAGCCAACTTTAAGAGAGAAATCGCATGCAGTTTTGATTAAATAACTGAGATTAAGCTATTGGCACACTAGATTTTTCACTTGACTTAATTATGCTCTGCTTAGATGAATACACACAATTAGCTTAAGTAATTAGGCCAGTGCTCTTGAAATTGCTGTCAATCGGGCAGCCATAGGGTTAACAATCATGCCAGTCACACAATACACTCAGAAGCCGATATCGAAGCACGAAATTGAACCGGCATATATTTTAACCGGAAGTTCGAAAAACCCCTTAAATCATGTCATCTAGCTTCAAGTCGAGAATTCCGGAACGCGTTATGCACTCGCTGACGGTACTGGATGGTCCACACATGCGGGTTTCCCGCGTCCGCGATGTCGCTCGACACAATCGCTGTTCGCTGAACCGCTCCCAGTTGCCGTTGCCGATCAGTAGCACGCTGAGCTCCTTGGTGAAACAGGTGCCGCCGAAAGTGGCGTGCAAGAAACCGGAAACGGAAACAGAATCGGTGATCCGCTCGCTGTTGCGACGCTCACGACCGCCGGCAGTTCGCGGCAATCGTACATCCTTTCGTCGCATACAGTTGGCTCACGGTTCACCGGTGGCCAGTGCCTCCTTGGTGATGAAATCCATCAGTTGCTGCTGCAGCACCAAAAACCGCTTGCAAATACCAATAAATGCTTCGAGTCCGGCTGCCCCAGAGGAGGATCGGGATCATTCCGCGGACAATCTGACGTCCGCAAAGAGCCTGCTCGAATTGGTGGCCGGAAAAAGGCAACCGGCTATGGAACAAATGCGCTTCCTGTGCAACGATCATTGCCTGATCAATGTGCCCAGCCCCCTGATGTACCACCATTCGGGGGTGATGTCCCGATTGGAAGGAGAGGAGCAGCCCATTGAGTTGCGGTCCATTCGATCGGTGACGCTGCTACGCGTGATCATGTGGATGCATCAGAAGACGCTTAGCGGAAACGGTGCAGTGGCGCCACCTACAGTTGAGGAGATGGCTATTTGCGCTAACCGAGAAAGCAACGGAGGTACGAAGAGCGAGAACAGTTTTCAACTGAGTGAGAACACTCATGACAATGGTCAAAACATGGTGAATTCAATATGTCAGGTCCACGGCGAAAAAATCGAACATAATTGCACAAAACCTTTTAGCAATGCGCATAGTGTCAACTATCAATTAGGCAAAGACTGCGCATCAATCAGATATGAAGATACCGAGAACAGCCGTGAAAACAATGGAAATCCCTATCAAAGTGGTGAAAGCTTAGGTGAAAATGCACGTAACAGCTGCTTTCAAACAAGCGACACCAAGAAATGTTTCGAAAACAATGAGCAGAGTCCTGAAAATTATAAAGTAGATTTTGCCACAGAAATGAAATGTAGTGGTTACAAACAAAGTATAAATGAAAAAACCGAGAACTGCACAGTCACAAAAGATAATGTAGAAGAGGGCGAAAAGATAATCTTAGATAATAGCAACATTCAATTACATGAAAATAACGGAAGCACTGAAAGCATAAATGTCAAGAAAGATACAAGTGATGAATTCCCAAATGTAAATGGGAATAGTCAAGATTATTCCGTAATTAGTGAAAAAAATACCGAAATTAGCAACGAGATTAGCACGGGCATCAAAATTGGCGAAGAAGGGCAGCATATTGAAAGTGAAAGCAGTTGTTTAATTAGTGACAATCGTGACAATGTGATGCAAAAGTTTAGTGATGTAAAGGAAAGCAATGAGAATAGAAGGTACGCAGGTGACAATGCCAATGGCGATCAATGCGTGAAAAACTTGAATAGAATGAAGCATTCTGCATTTCTTCTTGGCTCCTGGGAGGAGCGATTGTTGGGCAGCGAACTCTACCAGCTGGTGGAGCTCATCCTGGCGGCCCATTACTTGGGAATCGAGTCGCTAACCCTGAACGCCATTCATCATTTTGGCGAGCTAATGGCTCAAAGGACTCGATCGGAAGCTTGCCTCATGCTGAGGATCAGGAAAAGATTGGCGGGAGAGCGCCAAACCTTGGAAAACCATCGACCGTTGATTAGGGAGACGCTACCACAGGGACATCATCGAAAGTATCAGGCAGATAGGGCAGAAATCAGGAAGCAGCACTTCGATCCCAACAGTTCAACAGCCAGGATGGGCAGGCAACGTCGATCGAACAGAAGGCTAGCTGGAGAAGGAGGAGAAGGAGAAGAAGGAGAAGAAGGAGGAGAAGGAATGGAAGGTAGACCTTATGCCATAGAGCCACGACGTCGCCACCATCAGTACTGTTTCCAATCTAGGATTTGAACTCAAAACTTTTGGATTGTATTGGCAATAGACCTTTTGTACTTTCATTGTCTCGTACTCAGTCATCATTTAGTGTTGTGGTTTATGGTTGTTATTTGCTTATTTACCCATGCTCGTCCTATATATTTTCTACCTTTATTCTGATGATTTATTTAATTGCGAAATAACTGCGAGGCCTTGAGTAGGAAAATGCTTAGCAGACACGTCATAGTCGATTAATCCGCTGCAAAAGGCAAACACAACTTTTTGTTCGACCAAAGCCGCAAGAACAAGAACATTTTGATTAAATACTGCACTGAACAAAAATGCTTACTGGCATCTTACAAGCATTAGCTATTTATTTTCATATAATTCTTTTGAAATAAGCAAAAAATTATCTAAATGAAATAAAAAATTAACGTGAATACACACACAAAATATTCTTTCAATCGCAGAACCCAATCTAAGAAAAAGTTCGAAAAGTATTGTTCTTAGTGCACCTGTGGCATAATTAACACGCCAAGAAATGGGTGGCTGCTTCGAATGGGTGGGTGGTGAATGATGTGGACTATCTCCACAGCCGATGTGCGGCAATTAAGCGATAAAATATGCAACAAGCCAATTATGCGCACATTAAATGGCCACGACCAGCGCTTTTCCACCGTTTTCCCTCATATCAATGGGTCGAAGTTCAGGTACTGCCGCATTTGTTTTGCCAACAACACTTTCTCCCCAAATTTCACCGCACTTTGCACAGTTTTTCTCATTCACTTCTTATGGCCAAAAAGTTTATGGTACAACTTGTTTGGCTTGCTGAAAAGGTCATGCCGCATTAATTTTAGATGGCATTTCCGCGAGTTTTCAAGTTTTAAGCGACTTTGCACATAAGCCATGAAGCAGGAGATGCCGTTAGGAACCAAAATAGTACACTGGCCAATGTGCTTGGCACCTCGAAGGAGATCTTCGGAAAAGTGGCCGGAAAAGCGAAGTTTTCTCACTGTCAATCGTACTGCGAACGTGTATGGCCTTCTTTGGTTATCCCAACTTATCTACAGATTTCTATAAAATTGCATTTTTACCTTTCGGTTTAATTTATAATGGAAAACTTTTGTATTTTCGGTTGGATGACTTTAAGTTTTGCTTTCAAATTCGGAATGCGAGTGAAGTATATTTATGTATATTCGGCTTTCTGGGCGATTTTACTTGTCTGTTGTGTATTGTTATGAATTGAATGAATTTTTGAATGATTCCCAAAGTCAAGGAAAACAACAAAAGATTTCATAAACAAGAAAAGAAAACATTTTGCCTAGGCTCTTTTACTTAAAAACTACAACTAACAAAAGTAATCCTTAAAGTATAAATAAGGGATAAAAAGTAGTCTACTCATATACGAAAACTATGCCTCATTCCTTCACTGCTAATTGGTAATGGAAAATTCCCTTTCCGAAAATACCCTACTTATATAGATAAACGGTCGCTGTTGAAGCCCCAGTAAAATCCGACTTGTGTGAAGTTCAAGGACCCGATACGTCGGTTTTAATACGTAACTAAAATTATGGAGAACAATATAAAAGACGTCGGGCAATGCGACAAAGGGAAATTTAATAGACCTAACGACGCCATCATAATGAAGCTATGGCAAACACACGCCGGTACACACGCGCACATATGTGCATGTATGCGTACCCAGTGTGTGTGTGTGTTTGTGTGTGTGTGTATGTGTGAAGCAGCCATTTTTATTTCTGTAACACGCATACGCCCATTGGTCTGAATGTTGTTTTTGTTTTCTGTGCCGTAGTCTCATTTTGTTATTGTTGCCAAATCGCGTGAGCACCTTAAATGCCTGAGTTTATTCGTGACCCGCAGCAAAAGTAAAGAATGAACTTCGATTACTTTTTGTGGCAACAGGTTGATTTGAACCGCCAACAGTCCGTCCGCTTTCATTTCTATATCATTTGCTTCGTTTTTGGCCATTGCCGTTGCTAATGAAAATCTACACGAAACTTGTAGACAAGTTTTTATGTACTCATTACGCACGTAAAATGTGAGGCATATGGCTTTCTGGCAAAGACTTTAAGACCAGATAGTAATTTTGGTTTTTACACCATCTAGGGCTCTTTTAATTTTGGAAAAATGTGGCCACATGAGAATATGGTCTTGGTAGCTTAGAAATTGAGGAACTGTATTTAGCAGTAGTTCAAGATTTTTACCGGCTACATTTTATTGAAGCGTTCATACTAATGATTTCAATTTCGCTTAGACTTGCACTTTTGTATCCTTCGCCCTACTGCTTGTATTTCTTCAGCGCCTTGTGGCATTTTCTGCAATTTAACAGTTGATATTTCTCGTTAGCGGTAATGTATAGCCAGTCGGTGCCATAACTACCCCGATAACCCCCGGCATATACCCGCCACCAAATGCCCTTAAGCCGCAACTTTGATAAAGGAGAAACTTTTGTCTACCGCAAGCAAAATGAAAATCGTCCATTGAACTGTGGGCTTGGCCCAAGTCACCACCCCCCACTTGCCACCCACCCACTCTGTCATTTAATCCATTTCAAAGTTTTGTGCTCTGTTCCGCGCTCGCCACATTCAACAATGTTCTGTCTGTCAGCGCAACGAGTTCGGTTGATTCATCAGAAGACATGGCCTCGCCTCGGAAATCGTGTTGGCTCCCCTGGGAAAACGGGGGAAAATGGGGGGCAGACGCGATGCCTTCCCGCATATCGAGCACCAAATCTAGTGGATTCCCATTAGGAATCGACGGATTATCTATTTTAATTGATTAAAAAGAATGGCGAGATTTGGCAAGAGAAATGCTTGGTTTAAATTTGAAACCGTGACCGCAACGATTCAACTTTTTATTTCATTGCGGAAAGGAAAGACCAAATGTTTTACTCAACTTTTTAGTGATTGGAAAGTATTGTGCCTTCTTGATACTTTATGTTACTTTTGATTTGAAAATGTAAAAATCATAATATATGTAGTGTAAATGTAAATGGGTAAACCACATTTATTTGATTTACTTCAAATGAAATGAGACACTGGAACTGCGCTTATTAATCTGACACGGACTGTATTGTGCCAGTGTTGTCTGTGTGATTAACGTGCAGCAGAGCTCATTCCGAATGATTTATTGAGTGCTGTCTCCTCCCCCTCCGTTTGTCAACCCCCCCTCAGCCCATCCTTCGTTGCTCCACTGATCATTTCCATTTAGTGGCGCACATTGAGTATACGCTCCGTGTGACCACAGCACAGCAACAATTGCATATTGTACTTAATATGATGAATATATGTATGTGGATGTTGGGCGTACATAATGAGGGCGGACGAGTTGTGTTGTGTTGGGTTGAGTGGCGGGGAATAAAGTCGCAGTCATTGTTGAGCCTGGCCAAGTGGCACAAATGGAAGCAGTCACCCAGTCAAGGAGAAGTACAGCAATAATGAAAATAAAACAACAAACAATGAGGAGCAATAACACAAAAAAAAACAAACAAAAAAGAAACGAGAAATAGAGAAAAAAACAAGAGAAGCCAATCAAACAGTCAGCGGTTGTCAATTAAACTTAATTATGTTGCACAGTCGAACACACAGGCTTTGCAAGATGTTGTTGGCGACTCTCCACGATAGCAGCTTTCCACCTCCCAGATTGCCATGCCCCTCGAATTTCCACGCCTCCCCCTTTTTGCCAGTCAAAATTGTGTGTAAATTGAAAGCTTTAACAAAACTAATTGAGCACAGCAGCGAAAATGGATGGAAAAACATACAAACTGATTTGATTGCGTGGACGTGGATTTAGCTAAAAGCACTTGATGATTTCGTTAGTCGTATAGCCTCACAAAAATGGCGTTTCACATTCTTGTTTTTATAATTTAAAAGAAATGGCTAGACGCCATATAAAGGCTATCTGCAATTATTTAAAACTATCTTTGTAGCATGTAGGACTCCTAATAGTTACAAAATTGGCCATCAAAATACCAAGCGTAAAACTACCATTAACAAAACGATTCTAAATTGGCTGGTATTTTGAATCAATTTTGCATCCAATTTACTTCCCATTCTCACGCCTAATCATGTCTAACAATTTTAGTTCTTCGTCACTTTTCCAAACCATTCAATAGTTACCTTCGACAACAATAATCGTCTGTCCGTCTCATGTCCTCGTTTCCACCCCCTTTTTTATACACTTTATCGTCTGTGGAAAGCCTGCGAAAGGACTCACATTAATTAGGTGTGGGTGGAGTGCAAACATGGCTAAGGTGGCGAGGAATGAAATGCAGGGGAATGAAATGCGAATAAATAATAAATGGAACACACAAATCCAGACGCATAGCCCCATATGCATTTTACATGCAATTGGCCACTAAATAAATAAATAAATTGATTTTATTTTCAGCCTTAATTGTTACACACGTATGTAGGTTATATTGCCAATATGTTCTTGATTTATTTATTCCACGGATACATTTTGTTGCCTTCCTTCTGGTGGAATAATTGCCGTAGTTATATTTATACATTTGCGTATTGTTATATTGAATTGGACTAACGAAAGTTAAAATAGTCTACAATTTTATGGTTGGCAAGGAGATGGACATATTTTATTTACATAGCGTTCTGTTCTTAGGCCAGAGCTATCTTAAAATATACCTTTTAAGCTTTAAGAATTTTAAATCGTTTTTCTTCCACATTCCAAGCAATTTACATTTCCTACGTAATTTTCATGTAATATAATAAGTCTAATCGAGTTTTTCCCCTCATTTTTGTTTCATATTTTTCACAGGTAAGCGGTGTGCGATTCGAGGAGAATACAAATAACAGCACAAGTATGAATCGTAAGGGCTCGCGGCAGGATGAAGTGTCAACCTAGTTAAACATCCGACGCTTATCCTTCAGAGGGAAAGCACAAACCCAAAACCCCGCCCAAAACCCCAACCACGCAACAGATTTCCCGTGGAAGGCCACTTTGTGCTGCCCGCAGGCAGCTTCCCCCGAATTAGCTGCCAAGCAAAAATTGACGTTTAT